TATATATATATTTAATATTTCATAATAATTACTTTTATCTTGACAGAAGATGAAGTTCCACAACCATACTGTAGCAAGTGTAGCTGTACTTGTCATTGTTACTATCTGCCATGGTTCCTTATTTTGAAACGCATTATTTACAATTCTTGGTATAGCATCCATATAAAGGAGATGCATTTTTCCTTAAAAAAAAAATAATATGTGTGTGTGTATTCTATTAAAACTATATATAATTATATACACTCCATATGTCACGCATACACATGTTGATTGTACAATACGAGATCTATCACTGATTCATTCACACTTTTATGTCACATTGGAATGAAAGGAGGAAGCACTTCGCTTATGATCCGAGACTGAAATCACTTAAATAATTTTACACTTACTTGTATTTGCAATCGATTATTATTAATAGCACAAAGGTTTTCAAATAGAATGACTCGGCACTGTCCACGTTTTCAAGATCACGTACTGACCGATGTTGTTGAACGAGGACAATGCTTATCTAAACTCGATCATCCAACGCCGATTAGACGTCTACGAGACACGAGATACTGATAGCTTATAGTCTCTCTGACGGGGAGTCCGCTTGAAAGAGACTCTGGTATCTGCTGCCCTCTCGGCAATATATATATAGTCGAGAAGAGTAGATTTTCTTACAGAGAAATATTGAAATAATATAATATGGGAAAGACATGATATATATATATATATTCGAAAAATGTGGAAAAGGTCATCGCTATGAATGAGATATTGCAAAATTGATACCGAGCATAAATTTAATGAGTACGTGACAAAGCGGTATTTCAAAAATAAAACAGATTTATACGATGACATAGCATATGCAAAACCGGTTTTATCTCGGGTATTTGTTTTTACTTGCAGATTTCTTTGCAAATGCAGATTACTTTTGTCATTGGAGATAATACATAACATAGTTCAATAAAAAACACAAGAGAAAGAAGTAAACATTTCTTGTAGCTCTTTTTGACGCTGATGAATACGATCCCAGTTTTATCAACATTAATTATCTTGTTATGCATTTCAGACCTCTTTCAAAAGGAAAGAGAGAGAATTTGTTATATCCAATTATAATTAATAAAATATTCATGTTAAATATAGGGTCTATTGTGGAAAAGTGTGTTGCGAATTAGATTATTAAGATTAATCAAATAATTTTTAATTATGTTTATTCAAATTTACAGTTTTTTTTTAAATCGCTGAATATGAACGTGATGTCAAAGCTGAAAAATTAAAATTGGCAGAATCAATGTGACAGATGTCAAAATTAAAAATGTTAAAATTTTTGCAAAAACATATATATACACAACATTTAACTTTTTATGTATACATCTTTTTCTATATTTTTGTATATTTATTGTACATTTTTAATTCGCATTCAGCGACCCAAAACATCCTTAAGATTAAATAAACATAATTTAATTCTTAACTTTTCCGTAATAGACGCTATGAAAACTATGAAAATTCTATTAATTATACTCGACACAACAAATTCCTAACAACATACTTTATCTTGATTGTAAAAAAGTTCTTCTTACACATTATACATCATATACTATAGTTATAACACGATAAAATTCATTATAATAATTTTTTTGCGACCTTAATCGCAAATTTCCCACAATGTTAACGCAATGGAACAACTTGGACATCGGAATCGTGTATTCCGACGTTAAAAAATTACAGGAAGTGATTATCCTCTTTTTTTTTGTATTCGAACAAAAAGTTATTTTTTGTTGAACTATGCAATGTGTGATGGATAGAGAATTTTAATCATTAGTAGAGGAAGCATATATCATATGTATATCTACGTTTTTACGCGTAGTATTTCCTTTTTTATTTACAAATAGTCTCGCGATAATGTATTCAGTAACAAAATTACATTGCACATATACAGAATTATCGTTATAGCACTAAGGCAAGAACTGAATTAACAATATACGTTATACGTCATCCGTACGAGAAAAATCGTGTTTCCAATCGGATACAATGGGTAAAGTCGTCTTTTTCCTTATGATATATTCAGTCGTAAAATTTACATATAGCGTTTCTTTTTTTTCCTTAAGCACGATTCTCTTTATAACACTAGCATTAAGATAAGGAGAGAGAAACGAAGCATCAAACGTAAAGGGTTAACATATTATAACTTTAGCTAGGCCGAACATTTTGGAGCTCAGTCACGTGTTAAGTGTACGCCTGTCGCGAAACATGAATGAAACAAATCGGGAATCGCAGTAGAGATCCATTTTGCTTAGTTACGCGAATTCTGATCGTTGCGCCTTTTCTTACATTCTTGGAAAATGCGTGGCCTAAATGTGCAAATATACGTGGAATACGCGTGAGAATATAACAAGCCTTTTTATCCAAGATGCGGGGGCTTTCGAGTTATTACATTCGTGTAATCTTATGAGGCTCGATGTCGAGTATTAATCTCGTTTGTTAAATAGGCGGTTTCGATCAAATGCAAATGTAGGCACTCTATTTTTTACCGGCGTTGAAGCGTCGCGCGATCTCCTAAGAGATGCGCTCAGAGTTCTCGAAGATTACAAAAGAGAAGTATAACGCGTATTTTATTTTACTTTATGTGTACGGATAATCACAGCATCGATTATTTGACTAGAAAATCGTCTTCGCTTTATGCAATATCCTATACAAGGATCCTCGAATTTACGCGTTTGTATAGCATCTTTATTCGAATATCCGATATTGCATGCGGAAAATCCGTAGATGCGCGATTTATTCGCACATACTCGTAACTCTCGCGTAAATACGATACACCATTTTTGGGGAGGCCTTAAAACACACGACGATGTAACATTATGTCCGTTTGCTCCGCGTGACTTAAATCCGCTTTGCTCGGCTGAGCGGAAGGATGCGATATTTTTATACAATAAATGAGATATGTTCGATCAGAATCGGATGACGCGAGATGAGGTGTTTAAACGATGTGGTGACACACGACGAACGGTACAGAATTATCCTCCAGTCGCGCGAACGTTCCAACTTCTGAATACACTTCTGAGATTTCATTTAAACAAACGTCTCCTTTCATTCCTCCCTCCTCCCCCCCCCCACCCCTCCTTTATTCGAGAAAATATCCATGTGCTTGTTGTCAAGCTCTTATTCAATGGTATTCAAAAGTTAGCGGAGTGTGTATATATATAGACGCGAGTAACTTTATATCACCGCGGTGTAATTGTATTAAGGGAAACTTTCTACTAAATGCAAAACGCGTGCGCTGAATGAAAGAGAAATCCGCACTCGCGAATATAAAATATCCTTCGCTCCATCGTTACGAGAAATTCGCGAACTCATGTATGATTTAAATATCGGACAAGTATCGGAAAAAAAAATTCTCTCATTTTCCTCCAATAACGTATGAATGTATTCGATAGACTTTCGTGATTAAACTTTTCGAATCATCTGCTTCGCCGCACGAGTTCGCGATTCTCGTTCGCGAAACGAGACGTTAAAATAGCGCTCGACGTTACGATTACTTGCTGCGGATTACGAATGATAGTGTGAAGTAATATGTAGGGACGACTAGAGAACCGATCAATCGATCTATCGTTCAGCATTTCGACGATCAGTGCGCGTTACGTTAAAATAGCGCTCGACGTTACGATTACTTGCTGCGGATTAGTGATAGTGTGAAGTAATATGTAGGGACGACTAGAGAACCGATCAATCGATCTATCGTTCAGCATTTCGACGATCAGTGCGAATGTCCGAAAATTTCTAAAACTATATACGCTGTCGCTAATGGATAGGATCCGTCACGAACGGATGCTGGATGCGGATGTAAATTCGAAACGTGCGACTCGCGGTGTAAAAAAGGCATCTGAATCCGGATTAACGCCGTTAGTTAACGAAGCAGCGACGCTCCGAATTACCGTAACGCTCGATGCTGCGGATGTGAGAAAATATGATCTTGTGAGACGTTACGTGATTTAAGATCCGGGCGACTAAGAGCGACGAAGAGGAGCATCGAGAAACAATTCCGTATCGCGCGGATCGGGCAGATTGCGAGGGGGAATCTTGACTCTTATATACACCATCGTCGGAATATTTGCGTGCTCGGCGAATTTTTTGCCGACGAAGCGAGCACCAGATGTGACTGTGCGACTTCGATGGTAGATACAGACGACTTATTTAGCGATGCATAAACATTCGCGTATATACACTCGGTGCATACTTTCGCTCTGATCTTTCGATATCTCGCTCTCTCCTTAGGATTAGTCTGCCCCGTTATCTCATTAATGGCGAAGACAGGCCGGACGTCAAACGTTACGTTACAATCGTTACTCTTATCGTTATTATTATTAGCGTTATCAGTATCGTTACTATTATTATCGTTAATTTTACCATACGCGTTAAGAAACATTTAATTGAACAACATGAAACACTCGCCTGTGCGCGTGCGAGAATCTGTCAATATATAATATATATTTATATATATTTATATAAAATTCGAATTCACACACTCGGCAAAAATGAACGAGGTAAACCATCAACAGCGTCACTAGACTCCAACGTGTCGCATAAACTATACCAAATGAGCGCTCGAAGTTGGGAGAAACGAAATATTTTGGACGGTACGACGAAGAAGCATTCAACAAAACATAGCTGCCGACACAAAATCTTTGTGTTCCACTCAAATTCAAATCGCTCGCAACTGCACTCGCGAAAATTAGCGTATATTCTTCACTGCGCATCGTCCTCGAAACATGCGAGTCGTCCACGTCTCGGCTGACGATCTTCTCGTCCTGGCTACACGATCCTTTTCACCATGATAAAATCGACGGTGCGAGACAGAAATTACTCGCTTGACCATTATCGTCTCGGCATATACGTCGATACGTTATCTCGGACAGTTGGTGAACGGAACCCCGTGATCTCGACAATTTTAAAGGCCTCGCGCGAGATCTTTTATTTTTAAAGATCGAACTCTCGCGGATTTTTAATACGCTCTCAGACACGTGTTTCGCAGCTTTTTTCCATCGTAGAGTTTAAACGTGTCGTAGAGCGATAGTTACTTAAGTCGTTGCGTGACGTTCGCCAGAGCGACGGCGAATGCTTGCAAAGCACTGAACGGATATTGGAAATCCAATGTGTACGCGTTGCCATCTATTCTTCCGAACTGCATTACCTGAAAAAAACACAGGAATATTTTACGATCTTACCTTGAAAGACTAAAAAAAATTGACACACAAAAATATTTTGCGATTTAAGTCTATTCTTCCGAACTGCATTACCTGAAAAAAAAATTGACACAGGAATATTTTACGATCTTACCTTGAAAGACTAAAAAAAATTGACACACAAAAATATTTTGCGATTTAATCTTGAAAGATCTCTTGAGAGGATACGTCCTTACCTGTCTACCTCTGAACTCGATTTGAAAGTTCTTGGCGCTTTCCTGAGTCACTCTGCCGCCGAAATCGAGCTGATACACTTGGCTGGATTCGTTCCACATGGGCGCCTTATTGTGCATCACCAGTTGTGCATCGCGCCTTATCGCTTCCGGTTTGGAGATTCCTACTCCTCTTTGCTTGAGCTGTAGATATAACGTCTATATCTCAATATCGTTTTCCCGTGCGCTTTTTCTGGTTCAGTACACCGTGCTCATAGAAACATACTTTTCTTCGGAAGTCGAAGATATTTGCAATACAAACCTTCTGACGTAATTGAGCCTTCTGGAATGTTTCTAAATCCCGATAACTCGTCGTTGACGAGGAATCGTCCTGGAGAAGACCCTCCTCGTCCGAGCTTTCGCCACGATTCTTTCGCATCCTTCTGCTCAGCAACGGACTTGACAATAGCCTTCTACGGATCGGAGAAGCCGACGCCGGTCTCTTGCCTTTCTTAGACGGTGCTGGACTACTCGGCGAACTCCTCGGCAATCTGTGTTTATCGAGCGATTAGAAATTAAGTTGTGATGATTCGCGCGCGCGCATATCGATGATACGATATAACTACCTCGATGATGGCCGAGGAGAAGGAGGTGGCAAGGAATGACTGTCATCGAAATCTCGAAGTCTCGCGGCGAGACCGTCGAGTGACGAGACGAACGATCCGCTCGGGCTCGATCCTCTAAAGTACAATTACCTTTTTTACTATTTGAATTGCATGTGAAAATGACAGTTTTTCTCTTATCGAAAAATAGTACGATACGAATTTTTCGAATCGATTATACTCACTTGACGGGTGACGCGGCAGCTTGCGGTCGGCTCGGCTTCTCTCCGATATGAGTCTCGTGAATGACATGTCCGTTGCTCTCCTCACGTTTGTCGACGATCTCGCACGTCGCATTTTTCGGCGGTTCCGATTCGTCGCATTTAACTGGACTGTCTTCGACGACCTCGGAATTATTCACTGCCCCCGTCGTTTCCTCCACATGTTCCGGCAATTGCGGCGGGGAGGCTATTTGCTCGTTGCTCGGAAAGATATCACTAGAATCTAGACTCTTGGACTTGCCGCAATTGCGTAATCTAGGTGGCTTTGAGCTCGGCTGGCTTGTGTCGAGTTGTGACTGAGGCTTGTTCCTTTTTCGCCGTTTTGTTTTTCGCGATACCAATACCAGTCTCTTGTTCGGCGCGTCTCTCCGCAGCATTCGCAATGCCACGTCGCACGGCACTAGTTGAGCATCTACCAGGTCCAGATAACCGACGCTGCAACTCCTGACTATCGAGTCGTTAGAGCACATTGGTCCGATACTGATCACCGTCGAGGTTCTGTGAACGCCCCGCGATATTCCCGTATCGCCGCAACTGATATCCTCGTCGCTGAATCGCATCAGATCCTCGTCGAGTTTAACGACACCCGGCGTTCCGGCATTCGTCTTGCCGTAACATACGTGACACTTGGGATCCTTTTGCTTCGCGAAACATTGGGAGCACGACGATCCGAAGCACTGTTCGATGTTCTCCGGGAACTGATAGGAACACGCGGGTGATACTATCCCGTGTACGCCGTTTTTACTGACGAGTAAACCCGCGGCTTGTCCGATCTGAGAAGAGCCGTTGTTATTCGACGACGTCGCATTGAAACTCGCCCCGGTATTTTGATTATTCTTACTATGTACAAAACTGTGAGCGCTCTGCGACATCGCTGATTGATGGACGGCATGCGGCAAGACGTTGCTCGCGCACGCCATATTATTTAGACCGTTCAGGTATACGGCCGGGGTGCAATCGACATTCTCGAGACCGTTCGTAACCGGACTCTGAGAGATTGAGTATCGACTGCTCGACGCTTCCGCGACCTGGCCATTTTGCATGGAAATGATGTTCGCTGGACAAGCGTTCGACATCAGGCATGGCTTATCGTCCGACGCGATCTGATTGAGCTTGTTGTTCTCGAGCTCCTTCTTCGTCGCCACGCCGGTCTGCTGAACGTCCGCGAGAACATTCTTCATCCTCTGAATGCTGTTGGCGTAATCGGCGCCCGCGTTCGACGTCGCTATCAACGTCTGCGTGGGCGCGACTGCGTTTTTTGGTGATTGTAGAGTCGGCACGTCGCAGCATCGCGGCGGATTGTGTCTTGGTGGCGTACGATACGTGTTGGTGGGGGCGTTTCTAATATTCTCGTACAGATTACCCACGTCCTGCAAATCTACGTACGGCACGTACTCGCTCTCATAGCTCTCGATCTTCCCCAGCGACGTCGGCAACGTCTCCGTCGCCAGGAACTGATTCGACATTTGCGACTTGGGTCGATTCGGATGATTCAGACGAGCGTTGCGAGGTGTCATCGGCGCGATTGGCGGTGGTTGCGCTTCCGGGGTGGCTCGCGAGCTCGATTCCTGATACGACTCCTCTTCGTCCTCGGAGAATAGATTCGGATTGAACGTCGGATCTGGACCTATTTGCGACAAATGTATCGTGATAAATTTTTATAAAAAGAAAAAATCAAATTCACGCAGTTAGTTGGAATTACCTGCAGGTAGATCGTCTCGGAGCTCCGTCATCACGAGCGTCATTTGTCTGGGTTGCAAATGCAGCAACGACGTGCGATAAGTCACTTGACCTAGGTTCGCGGGAATGGAGTCCGCCAAGCCGTGAAACTTGAATTTCGTGCCCCAGATATTTGACGTTACTTCAACTAGTCTCGCGTGCTGCGAAAAGAAATACGCTTATAATGTTTCAACACCGTGTTTTATACCACTTAATAATTCGAGAAGGAATATTGTATTACCTCCGGCAAAGTATCTACATATGCGAGATCATTCAGCTTCTCTTCTCGTTCCGTGGCTTCGTCGCTCGGTCTCTCGTCCCGCTTCTTTCTGTTCTTCTTCCGATATCGAGGCGATCCGCATAAATCCGCGGTGTCCTTCTCGGTATCCGAACCGTCGCTATACGACGGACACTGCGACATGTCGTCGAACACTTGCAGAGTCTCCTGGTTCTGCGGGTCAAATATCACAAACTCGGGTCGGATCTTGCTAGTCCGTCTACCTTTGAGGAGTGGCACGAGACCGCCTAAGTATTCCAGATAGAGTGTGTAATATGGCACGGGCTCGATGGCGTGTCTGAGCATGGTGCAATGCAACCGGCTACCTCCGGGCGGTGGTCTCGACACGAAGCGTCGCAGTTCCCTCGGTTCCGGCACTAAACATCTGAAAAAAGCGCGCGGAAGATGCGATATTTATACGTGTAACGTTTCTTCTTCATCGATGGAATAATTTGTCTTTCACAGCCAAAGAACTTTGCGAAAGCTCTTTTTTTTTTACCGTATCGTGTTAGCGAACAGGGCGGCCACCGAAGCTCTCAATCGTGGCGGTAATGGAAGCTGTTGAACATTGGATTCCCTCGTGAGAGCCGCTCTCACCGCTAGCCTCGACAACAGTTGTAGCGAGCCCACTCTCCTGTAAGGAACAATACCCACTTGATTATCAGCCCGTGCATCATCACTCCGGTGAAACTTTCGAAGTATTAAGTCACTCGTATTAAGAATCTGCATTCGTGAAAACGCGATTACATCGAAATGAGAGATCACCTGGAGACCCAAGCGGCGTGGACGCGCGCCCCGGTCGCTACGAAGAGTCGCCTGTCGTTGTGTCCCCATGTCAATGCCGACACAGGGCACTGAAGTGCGCGTGAAATTGTGAAAAGAAAATCATAAAAATAAATTATTTAGTGTCGCACAAAGAGCATCGATTTTAGATAGATAGAAAAAGAGAGAGAGAGAGAGACAAGCATTTTTTTAAACATACTTGCGTGTACGGAATCTCAGTCGTGTATACGAGAGTGCCATTGACCGAGTAGAACTTGAGCAGATTCGTATACTCCTGTGGACTTCCCGGATGAAGATGTTCGGACTCTTTTGTGCCTGCGATAGCGAGCAGTTTTCTAGAGTTGCTCCACTCGGCGTGCAAAGGCGGCTTCAGATTGCTGCGTATCGTGATGGGCGATACGTCGTCGAACGATCGTAACATGACGATGTTGCCGTCAGCGAGGCAAACGGCTAGGACGTAATTCCGGTCATCTGCGCTTGCACATACATCACGACAAACGTGTGCGTCAATTTCTCTCGACCAGTGTTTTTTTTTTTTTTTTTTTTTTTTTTTTGACGAAGAATCGGCAAATCTCGAATCTCTAAAAATCGCGATTGATACCTTTCTGAGATCGGTCACACGTCTCGTCCTCCTCCATAGTGAACTTCTCGGCGCTCCACGCCATCGACGTGACACCGGCCGCCAATTGTACCTCCGACACCATAGCCCCGTGAACGTCCATAACGATTAACTGGCCCGCGGTGGTCCCGAAATAGACCTTTTGTTGTACATGACAGAGGAAAGGTAAATAATGTCATCTTATTTTTCTTTTATCGGTATCCTATCTACAGATGAAGACATTCTCATCGGCGACAAAGAAAAAGCTTTTAACTCGCTACTGGGTTGCTGTCAAAAATGATTGAGTATAATATTGCGCTACAATGCCAAGAATGCTTCTATTGGGGAAGGATATATCGTATTTCGCGTACGCGATTCAAACGCTCGTGTATCCTAATCTTCGCTATTGTATTCTAATCTTTGATGAAAAGAAAACGCGCGAATATTATAGACGTCGATTGCTTTTTTTCATCAATTACAACGTTTATGATAAATTAAAAAATCACGCAAAAAAATATGAGATTAATATTTTTTTCTCGAACCTGCTGATCGTCCGGAGTCCAAATGCCGCATGTTATCGTCGCTTTGTCGTTGAGCATCGACGACCAATATCTTTGACCGGCGACACTCCCAACCAGTACGAAACCATCCTGTAATAAAACATTGCATTCTCCGCAGCTGATACTCTGTAGAAATGTGCGCGGCGCATTTACGACGAGAGATCGTAAATAAATACATAAACCCCTGAAGTCTTAAAGAGAGCGCGTCTCAACGCATTGAATGGAACGCTTTGAACTGAATGCCGATATTCTACATCGATAATATAAAATAAATAATCTTAGATTTATCGGAGTCGATTTATTTAACGAAAACAGAGATTATTCTCTCTTTATTATAGATCAAAAAAGATTAGCTAAGGATGCCTACCTTTTCGAATTCTTTTTCCTGTACTCCTAATTTCTTTAGCAATCTATCCTTCATTTTTTGAAAAGGTTCACCCTATAAAGTACAGCGTTACAATTATTAAATCTCTTTATTATATGTATATATATATATATATATATATATATATATGTACGTATATATAAATATACATTTGATATCTTGAGAGAAAGAAATACTTTCTAATCAATCTTAATAAATCTCACGGTGAATAATTTTGGCTGATGCACTTGTTGTATAAAGTATCTATTTTTGCTGATGAAACCTTTCTAACGGGTACACCTTACGTTGGTGGGAGGGCTCAGTATCTAGAAGGTTTATCCTAAAGAGGAAGCCAAATATCCAAGCGGTTAATAGTTTTTTAAATCCTATTATAAGATTTATTTTATATTAATATCTTCCAAGTGCGGGAATGTCGTGTAAAGTATCGCGCGTTCAAGTACGGGAGTGAATTTACGAAACAATATACTTTAAAAAAGTATGTAGAATTATATTCATATAATTCTGTAATATTTTTTTACAGTATATATTTCTGTGAGATTATACAATTTATAAGAAAAAAATCACGGTTATCGTTTTGTAAACTCCACACAACAAATATTATAATTTACCCTGTAACATATAAGAGCCATGCGACCGTCGTGGGACCAAGAAAAATGCGTAACAGGTGTGCTTCTGTCGTTGATTAATTCTATACTCCATCGTCCGTCGTATTTGATCCAAACGAAGATTACACCCGAACTGTCGCACGAAGCTAGTTTTTGGTAGGGTTCGTTCCATTTGACGAGTATCACCTGTAATCAGATAAAGAGATTTGTAAGCTGAAGAAGCCTAAGAATTGTTAAAAGTGTCGATTACGAAATCTCTCAACAGCATTATTTTTTAAATTTTCTGTCGATTTTTCGTAGATTTCTACGAAGATAATATTACGCGTGTTTCATGCTGCCAACTTTAATATAATACAATACCATAAATTGATCTCCAGTATTTTGAGTTCTGCAATTAATTTTATGAGCTTTAATCAGTAAACCTAAGCCTAATTAGTATCAGCGTTCTCGGCCGAAAATTTTTCATTCTTAATCAAGATCCTTCCATCGCTTATTTCTTATAAAAATGCGAGATAATTAACATAACTGATAATTAATATTAAAATATCGCTTTAATGCTGTTCTGATTACGAGACGTCATTTCGAGCGGGCGTGACTTCTTCAATAGATAAGCCCCGAAGGCTCGAGAGGATCAAACTTCCGAAAAAGATAATCAAGAGTATTTGAAGAGATTAAATCGATCCTTCAAGGAAGGTAATCGCGACCTTCGATTTTAAGAGCTTATTTCGCGCTATCGGTGGTTGAGGCGAGTCTTGCATAGGTCGAAGTCGAGACGCGCGCGGAGATATCCGCGAAGTGTCATTGCTCCATCGTCGATCGATTGCCTTCTATTGCGGTGACGAGCGAGCGCGCCTATATATTTTTATCTTGCTGATACGGCAAATAGAAGTTTATCGGAAAATTAATTTCTGGAATGAAAATATTAGATAATTCGCGCCGTGTTTATTCGCGTTGTATTTATATCTTCGCGAATTATAATTAATTAAGTCTAACATTAAAAAGATAAAACTGAAATTTGAAAAGATTCATGAATTGCTCAAATTTATCATACATATCTTATAATTTGTAATAATTATTATATGGAATTATTCATTTTTCGTGTTCCAAAAATTTTTGACTTTTGATAGAGATTTTACGTTGTCCCAAAAAAAAAAAAAAAAAAAAAAAAAAAAAAAAAAAAAAAAAATCTTATAATTTATAATTATTATATGGAATTATTCATTTTTCGTGTTCCAAAAATTTTTGACTTTTGATAGAGATTTTACGTTGTCCCAAAAAAAAA